AAATAATTCGAATTCCGTGAATTTCTAGTATCTTTTCAACTAAAATTTTTTTTAGCAAATAATACTTTACTATTTTTCCTTTAAATTTTTTTAATTTAAATTTTTTCAATAAGAAGACAATTAAAAATATGTAAAACCTTGAAATAGTGTGCTAAATTGAAAATAATTTTGAATTCCATAAAAAAAACAAAAATCGCTCAAAAGTCCGGATTTATTAGCTCAAATATTATTTTGACTCATTGTGACCTTCGCACAATGCAAATTTAAATATGACATTGCGCTATCTCCGCCCTGCGATCATGCCATTGCACAAGCATTCAATTCGAGAGCAACAAGTTCGATAAATAATAACTGACCACATGGCGTATGAGTATTATTTAATTTGCAATGCGAGCCAAATGCTCATCAATGGCATCATCTAAACACACACAAGTGCTTTTTCTCATATGTCGATATACACATGTCTGTGTGTGTGTGTGTGTGTGTGGTTATTGCTATAATTTCCAAAGCATTTCGGAGCGCACTTCAACAATGTGTGTCAGCCGCATTTGCATTTGCATAAAATTCAATGCAATGCAACAAAGTCGGCAATTCGGTGAAAACATTTGCTATTTTGTTGCTTTGGCAATAATTCAATGAAAATGCTTGCATAATGAACCTTTGTAAATATTTCAATTAAATTAGCCATTGATTAAGGCAATATGCAAACAGCACTTGATGTGTGCGATAACAAATAGAATTTTCTGCAATTAATTTCGCAAATGTGTCGCATTATTTACGGCATTTTTCAATTAGTCTTAATCAAAGCCATACGAATGCCGGCGCACAACAACGTTTTGATTTGACGCCACAATGCTGTGTAATTTAAATTTTATTATAGCCTTCTAGGTTAATGTATTGTTGTTGAAGAATGAATTGCTACTGTTAAATGGATTGTTGTTGTAAATTGAGTTGTTGTAAAATTAACTACTTGTATTTAAAATAATCTTTGTTTTAAATAAAATTGTTGTAGAAGTGAGATGTACTTGAAAACGAATTTTTGTTGTAAATTGAATTCTTATTATAAATTAAGATTTTTGCTGCCAAGAGAGTTCTTGTAAATTTAATTGTTGTTGTAAATTTATTTGTAAAGGTTATTTGTTGCAAAGTGAGGTGTTATTGATAAACAAAATTTTGTGTCAAACTGATTGTTGTTGTAAATTGAGTTGTTGTTGTAAACCGTGTATTATTTGCAATTTGAGTAAATGAGATTTTTCCTCAAATTAATTGTTGTTGTTAAACTAGTTGTTGTTGTAAACTGATTAGTTGTTGTAAAATTGTTATTTTTTGCAAATTGAGTTGTTGTAAAACTTCATTTCGTTGTATAATTAAATGTTGTTTTAAAAATTTTTGTTGTAGAAATATTGATTTTTGACGTTTTGTTGTAAATTGAGTTGTTGTTATTGCTTACCTGCAGTACACGACAGCGCAGCTTGACGCACTTCTCGTCCTCGCACGGCTGATACATGCCCAGTGTGACGCAGTTGAAGAGTATCACCAGTATGGAGACGCGCTCGAACCATGTGTAGTGGCGCCAGGAATGGGCAGAAGACATAGGAAGAAAGTTTGCCGAAATATGAAAAATAACAAAAAGTTGCAAAGATATTGCAGCGATAACGCAATTGGCTTTGTTAAGGAAAACATGTTGGCCAGGAAAAGTCTGTCTGATAAATTATTAATATTATAAAAAATTATTTTTGGTGGGCTTTGAACAGTTTTTAAGTGCAAACGCCTAAAAGTATGCAATTGTTTCACAATTTTGCAATGTGCAATAAATTTTTTAATATAATACCGAAATTTTTTATTTTTTTTCCTGTTTTAAAGCAAAAATTTTTGCATGCTTTTAGGAGTTGATACATGATTTTCGTCTTTAAAAATGTTATAAATGAACTTAAGTTTATGATATGTTTATTCAAAGTTTTTTTAACTGTCTTAAAAGTATGCAAGATATTGCGTAAATATAAAAATGCTACTACTATATCTCATTTGTCTCGGTATTTTTTCTAAATTTTTATATAAGAAAAGCAGATCTTATGTTTTTCTGGAGGAAACCAGTTATACGCTTTAATGGCAATTTTTCGGAAGAAAATCCATGTGAAAACGTGCTCTGATTTCTTTCCTCATTCCTCCATTTTTCTGAAAGTCGTTTAAGTTCGCACGCCTGAAAGTATGCAATGCAACATTTTGAATCCCTCTACTTGTATTGATTTTTTCACTTCAAACTGAAATCTCACACTTATACACATACACATAACAGCAGTTTAGTACCTAAGTGCGCGCCCACTCCATCAAAGTACTTGACGTCAGCGCCAGCGTTTGCTGTAATTATCGTCTTGAGCCGTTACTAATGCGTTGTGCGCATAAAAGTACGCTTTCAAGCCCGCCCATGTGCACAGCTGCGCTACGACCAGACCTACTGCATGCGCCTACTTATAGGCTACACTGGGCAAATAATCAAGCTTTATGGCTCGTATTTTTTCCCCCGATATTGTTACGTTGTTGTGCGCTCGACCGCTAATGGCAACAACGGATGCCAGCAACATAACCGCAAAATAGCGAAAATTACAGCAATAACAACAATAAACAAAATTGAAACTGTAAACTGCAAGCATTGTGCACATCATTGCAGGGGTGAGAGAGAGTGCCAGCCGAGGCGATGAGTCTCTGGTACTTCAAGAGTGCCTTTGCAATACAACCTTCAACATGTTTCCTTCCGTTGTGGTTAATGCATTTTCGAAAACACTGTGTGTACATCAAGCAGGTGCACAATGAAGGTACAACAACTGGAAAAAAACCAAGGCGATAACGCAAAGTGGAAACTAGCAACAACAAGTACGGAAAAAACAACTTGAGCACAATGCCAGAGATTTTCCTGATTTTCCATTGATTTTCTTTTTGCTCATATTGTTCTTGTTTTCAGTTTTTGCTTTTGTTGTTTTCGATTTTTTACTCTGGCTACAAATGTTGCCATATTTCCACAACAGCCACCACTCGCTTGCTGAGCTGCCCCTTCCACATTTGTTACTTTACGTTGCATATGTTTTTGTTCCCATGTCAGCTTTCTCCCGCCCTCCTTTTACGCTGCTTACACCCACCTTCCAAGCTTCTCTTCTCGCCTTTCACACCACCTCATTTATCTGCTAGAAGTTTGTTGCACATGCATCACCTGCGGCAGCTTGCAATGTGTTGCATGCTCGGCTTTGTTGCGTGTAGCAGATTTTTTCCAACAAATTTTTCACTTTGTTACCGCAAATTCTTCTTTACAGCTTCCCATTAATATGCGCTTGCCGCCTAAGGTTGTTTCGCTGGTCGGCTGCATAGGGCTCAAGGCGCTCTTCACACAATGCCGTGATTATTTTACTACTTTTCTTAGTTTCTTTTCCTGCTTTACTAAAGCCCAGTTGAAATTCTTTTGAGGAAAACTTTCATTTGAAAGAAAAAATAATAAATTCCAGATTTAATTCTTACGCTTGCCGTATAAAAAAAAAACAAAAGGATGTCCCCGATTTAAAATGTATTGCGGAAAGAATATGGAGCAAAGCAAAATTTTACTAGGAAACGGTTGAAATTAAAAAAATTTAGTACACAGGTTTTTTAACAAATATTTTTAGTACACAGTTTTTTTAAAATATTTTTTGTACACATTTTTAGTACTAAATTTTTAGAACATATTTTTAGTACGGAATTTTTAGTACAAAATTGTTAATCTAAAAATTTAGCACAAACTTTTTCTTACTCTTTGGGAGCACTTTTCACTTTTTAGTAGAAAAACTTGTCATTAAAAAATTTAGTACACATTTCTTTTTAACAAATATCTTTAGTACACAGTTTTTTTTTTAAATATTTTTAGTACACATTTTTAGTTCTTGGTTTTTACAACATATTTTTAGTACAAAATTTTTAGTAAAATATTTTTCTTACTCTTTGGGAGCACTTTTCCCTTTTTAGTAGAAAAAATTGTCATTAAAAGAATTTAGTACACATTTTTAGTACTAAACTTTTAGTATATATTTTTAGTACACATTTTTTAATATACAATATTTAGTGCAATATTTTCTCTACTCGTTTATAGCACCATTTTATTTTTTAGCAAAATAAATTCTTACTAAAAAATTTAGTACAAATTTTTAGTAGAAGTTTTTAAATTGTTAGTAAAAACCTTTTTTACCTTTTAAAAAAAAGTTATAATTGAAAAAACTTAGTAGTACACATGTTTTAGTACAAAATTGTTAGTACGAAGTTTTTTGTATTAAGTTTTTAGTAAAATATTTTTAAACTTTTTGCTAACACATTTTACTTTTTGGTAAGGAAAATTGTTATAAAAAATAAAAATAATAAAATTTTGTATATTTTTTTTTATTTAACATTTTGAGAAAAGCTGTCAAATTTTAATTTGAAATAAAAACAATTTCACGTCTCTGGATAATATTTTTTGTTACTGAAATGTGTGTATTTAAATTTGGTTGAAGCCATGAAAAATTAGTACTAAACAGCAAAAAAAAAAAAAATAATAATTATAAATTTCATATATTAAGCCGAAGGTCCTGGCAGCCAGTGCTCCTTTTTTTTCGTGTAAATAAAATAATTGTATTATTTTTTTTCACATTTAAAAATAAAAATAAATAAATTTCATATTAGCACTAAATTTTTATACCTAAAAGATTAGAAAGAACTTTCGTAATTTACAACTATTTAGAAATAGTTTTTGTGCGCTCTAAAAATTGTTGATAGATTGGTGTTTAAACTATTAAAATTTAGTGCTAAAGAGTACTAAAAATATTTGAAAGAGTTTTTAAAAATGTGTAATATTTATTGCTAATTTTTAGTAATACGAGTAAAACGTGTGTACTAAAAGCAGTAAATAAGATCTGCTTGAAACTATGAAAAGTTGGTACTAAAAGTACCAAAAATATTTAGTACCAAAATTTTTCTCTAATATACAAATCCCGTTTGTACTAAAAAGTACTACACAATTTTAGTACAAAATGTTTTTATACAATTTTATAAAAAATACTTTTAGTACTAAAAATTAAGTACTAAAACGTTTATTTTTACAATTCTACAATATTTAATGTAAATGTTTAGTATATAAAATATGTTCACTAAAAACACGATCTGGGTAAAGTGTGTAAAATTAGTACTAAAAAATATTTTGTACTAAAAATGTGTAGTATTATTTATACAAATCCCGTTAGCACTAAGAAGTCCTACACAATTTTAGTATAAAATACATTTGTACAATGTCATAAAAAATACTGTTAGTACTAAAAATTGAGTACTAAAAAGATCAATTTTAAAATTTTTAGTGTAAATTTTTAGAAATAAAATCTGTGTATAAAAACAGAGTTAATAAGATAAATTTTTCTAAAAGTGCTAATAAAATTTGTACTAAAAGTTTGTTGCAATTGTACTAAAAAATTTCAGTACAATTTTTTTATAAAAATTGTGTTAGTACTAAAAATTTGGAACCAAATATTTGTTGTGCAACTTTATAAAAATACCGTTTGTACTAAACATTTAATACCAAAACTATGTTGTATTATACAAGTCCCGTACTAAAGAATTTTAGTACAAAATATTTCTTGTGCAATTCTCTAATAATCATATACATTTATTATAGTATAAGCTATTTGAAATTTTATTAATACTGGTTTTAGAACCACTTTCAACAGTTTTTGCGCATTTTCCACCCAAATATCCGAACACAACCCACTGTGCCGCTTTTAATAAAAGTATCAATAACATTGGCACAACCACTTAATTAAGTCGCTGTCTGTCACATATCAAGCACCGTTATCACGGCAAAATGAGAAACGGTGACAATAAGCGGGGTTGAGAATGTAAAATGGTAAACCATTAAAAGGCGCAATTCCCGTGGGCGAGAACACAATCGAGCCACATAAAGTCAAGCATCAGCACGCAACAAAACCGCAAGCATAACGGCGGCAGCAAGGCGCGAACAGAGCGCGCAACAAATGCTAAAACCATATTAGCTATACCAAAGACTGCTTATTAGCACCAAAGTACCCTCAAAGCTCATCTAATGCTCGCCACACCCCCTCATTGTGCCCCCACCCCCAAAGCACTATCCCACCTACCTCTTTGTGTCTTTGACGCTTTTATCTTGTCAATGTTCGTTTCGCTTTACTACTTTTTTGGGTGTCGGGGTGTTCTACTTTTAGGCATGTGTGCCGCCTCTCCTCTCCACACGCACACAATCATATTTGAATACTCCTCAGAATGTATGTGTGTTTGCATAGGTAATTTATTGCTCACTTTCCTTGTTCATATCTTTTATGGCTTTCCTGGCCAACATATCAGCAACGCGATTTATTTATTTACGAGCATTTCATGTTCCGTTATTTTTTGCTCGCTTTTGGAAATTTATGCCTCATAAAGTTGTCGCACAGCAAATAAATATGATACCGAATAAATTCGCATACCAGATATGTGCACATACATATGTTTGTTAGTGTGTGATATGCTGACAATTTATAAAAAATATATTTGTTTTTCATATGCA